CAAGAGATAAAAAGAGAATGGCAGAGAGGAAAGATTCAAAAGAATCAGGAGTGGAGTGCTTCCTTTGGACTCCATGTCCCCACATTGCCCTCCTCAGCATACTGGAAGGCAAGACGCATGAAGATTTCCAAGGGATGCCAGACTCACAATGTTGAAGGTTCTGAGCCTTTTTTTAGAGCTGGCACTCTGGGCTTGTTCTTCTGGCCTACTAAACTATGAGTTTGTTGAAGCCATCCAGTTGGGTATTTCTGTTACAGCAGTACTAGATAACTAAGCAGAAGACAAACATGAACTCATTTGCATGAAAGAGATTAATAATTTATAGAGGACTGATTGTGGAGAGGGAAGCATAGAAACATCCATTAAAAGATTTTTACCTCCAAGTAAGAGGTGACTATGGTATGGACTAAGGTTGTAGTGGTGATCACAGGAAGTGCTTACGGTCTGAAAATATTTAGGAGGTTGAGTCGACAGCTGAGAGATTGGATGAAAGGCATAGAAGAAATCGAGGAATCAGAGATGGCTCTCCGGATTTTTGGCTGAGCATCTGGAGATGGTGCTCCTTTTAACTGACATGGGAAAGATTTAGGAGGAGCAGGGACTCATTAGATATCTTAAGTGGAAAAGCCAAACTTGTAGATGTAAATTCAAACTCAAAATAGAAATAAATACTGGAGATAAGTATTGGAAATATTTATCTAGTTAGTTTTAAAAGGAATCTTGGTGGTGTACTCTGTACTATGTTGTGCTGTTAACCAAAAAGCTAAACATCTCAACTAGTTCAAATCCATACTAAGATCTGTGGGAGAAAAGTGGGCATTCCTCTCCTGTTAAGATTTACAGCTTCAGAGACTCAATGGAGGGTTACTATGAGTTAGCATTAATTCAATGGCAATGAATTCTTGAGATAAGATTTTAGAGTTTGGGACTGGATAAGATCACCTGCTAAGGGTGTAGAGAAAATGTCTTCAGAAAAAAGTCCTCCATTTCAAGGATGAGCAGAGGAAGATTCTGAGAAGTAGGAAGGAAGAAAATTAGATGAATATGAAGCCAAGAGAAAAAAAAGAGTTTCAAGGATAAGTGAGTAGTCCTCTATATCAAATATTATTGATGCTTCAAATTAAAGGCTATATTGGGATTTAACAAAATGGAAGTGATTATCCAGTGCCATCAAATTGGTTCCAACTCATAATGATCCTTCACCAGGTTTTTGAGGCTGTAGGCCTTTACTCTAGAAAATAAAGACTACCATCCTTCACTCCGAAACACTGCTTTTTATACAGTTCTACACTGTGCCACCAGAGTCCCATGGAGGTGACCTTAACAAAATTCATGCCAGCACATTCTTACTAATATCACAAGAAAGAATCTGCATACAAATTGCCCACTACTACTATTATAGGCTTGCTTAAAGTGACTTGAAAGAAGACTTAAAACATTTACTGCAGAAGATTAAAGACTACAGCCTTCAAAATTATTTACGTCTTGACATCAAGAAAACACAAATCCTTACCCCTAGGCCAGTAGACAACACCATGATAGATGGACAAAAGATTGAAATTGTCCAGAATTTAATTTTACTTGAACCCACAATCAACATTCATGAAAGCAGCAGTCAAGAAATCAAAAGGCATGTTCCATTGGGAAAATCTGCCCTCAAGGATGTCAAAGTGGTCTTGATCCAAGCCTTGGTCTTTTCCATTACTTTCTATGCATCTGAAGGTTGGACAGTGAATAAGGATGACACAAGAAAAGTCAATGCCTTTAAATTGGGAAGTTTGGGAAGAGTATTGAATATCTCATAGACTGCCAAAAGAGCAAACAAGTCCTTCTTGAGATAAGTGCAACCAGGAATGCCCCTTCGAGGCAAAAACGGTGAAATTTTGTTTAGTATACTTTGGACATGTTTGTCAGGAGGATCCTTGGGGGGGGGGAACACCAAGCTAGGAAAAGTGACAGGTCAGAGAAAGAGAGAGAGACCCTCAACAATATGGATTTACACAGTGACTGTGACAATAAACTCATAATATCACAGACAGAAAGGATGTTGCAGAATGGGGCAAGGTTCAGAGCTGTCACTCATAGGGTTGCTATGAGTTACAGTCAACTCATTGGCACATAACAACAGTAACAAGTATTACAGAATTTTGATTGTCAATATTTATCAATATCTTTTTCAAATTTTTTTTGTGGTTCAGAGGTTTACAGAATAAATTAATATTTCATTGAGCCAGCCCCACAATGTAATTGCACTTTCCCTGTTAATGTATAAATGAGCTGGACTTCCCTAGTACCTCCTTCTCACTCTGGTGAAGAATCAAGCTGAATGAGAAGAATGGAGAAGACCTGGGGTTGATCAGCATGATAGGGCTTGAGAGGTATGGAGAATAGAAAGGAGGAAACAGCAAGGTATTTTATTAGGATAAGTCCTTCTGGAGAGAGTACTATGTCACACACCATGAATGAAGCAAATCCTATATTACAGGAGCCTGATGATGATTTGCAGTTAAGGTAGCTGAAGATCAGAGGGGGCTAAAGTAATGGCTAAAAAAAGCCAACTTTAGCCTACCATCACACTAGTAAAAAGGGTTTGCCTTGAACATTATGCTCTTTTAAGAACTATCTCCAAGGAATCACACTGACAACAGCACTTTCCAAAGATTACAGAGAATCACACTGACAACAGCACTTTCCAAAGATTACAGAACAACTTTAGGGAGTGGTGACAATAACCTGTGTTATTGAAGCAAGAACAACTCAGAAAAGTTAGAGGAGTAGTACAACTTGAGGCATATATTCTTTTTGTGACTGAGACATTTCACTCAGTATAATGTCCTCCAGGGCCACCCATTTTGTGAAATATTTCACAAGTTCCTTGTTTTTCAATGCAGCATAGTATTCCATTGTGTGTATATACCAGAGCTTCTCTATCTATTCTTTTGTTGATGGGCACATGGGCTTGTTTCCAACTCCTTGCTATTGTGAACAAAGCAGAAACAAACATGGCTGTGCATGTATCTGTTTGGGTGGCAGTTATGGTTTTGAACAGTTCTCTCAAAAGGGATATATGATTGGATATTATTGTTATGACAGGAGTCCAGAACAAAGGTAGCATAGTGGAGAGGACTTGAGGGTAGGAATTGAATAATAATGAAAGATTTTTTTCCCCCTTTTACTTTTCAAAAAGAAAAGAGAATTGTGGGGGAGGGGTGGGCCGGAAGAAAAGTGTGACAATGAATGAATGGAAATCCAAAGTCACTATAAACTTTCATTAAAATAAAAAAAAGAACCACTGTTCTGTTCCAAGAACATGATCCAGTTTTAATTTTTTATGACATATTACTATTTAAAATGGTTTATTTACATGTTTATTACATACCTACTCCAACCCTAATTACAATATACGTTCCATGAATGCTGTTGTTAGGTGCCATCAAGTAGAGTATATCTCATAGTGACCCAATGAACAAAAGATCTGAACCCTGTTCTATCCTGCACCATCCTGACACTCAAGAGCCCACTGTAGCAATCACCTTGTCAATCTACCTAATGAGGGTCTTCCTCTCCTTTGCTGACCCTCCACCATTCCCAACATAATGTCCCTCTCTAAGGAGTAGCAACTCCAAGCAATATGTCCCAAGTATGAGAGGTGAAGTCTCATCATTCTTGTCTCCAAAGAGCACTCCAGCTGCACCAATGAGGGAGTTTTTCTTTTGCTTTTCAAGGAGAGGAGCAAATGGGGGGGGGGGAGGGGTTTGTGCGGGGAGAAAGGTGCAACAATGAATGGATGGAATCCCAAAATCTCTGTAGATGTTCATTGAAATGAAAAATAAACAACCTAAATTAAAAAAAAAAAAAGCCTATCTATTCGTTTTCTTGGCTGTCCATGGAATGTTGAGTGCTCTTCTCCAACACCACAGCTCAAAGGCATCAATTCTTTTTCTGTCATCCCATTGTCCAGGTCTCAGATGCATAGCTAGTAAATGGAAAGACCATTGCCTGAATCAGATGTACCTTAGTCCTCAAACTGACTTCACTACTCCTCAATAATTTGGAAAGGTCCTAACAGCAGATTTTCCATTGCAATGTGTCTTCTTATTTCTTGACTGCTTGTACCAAGGGTGTTAACTGTGGATCCAAGCAAGACGAAGCTGTTGACAGTTTCAGTCTCCTCTCCATCCATCATGACACTGCCTATTGGTCCAGTGGTTAAGAATCTTTGTTTTCTTGGCATTGAGATGCAATCCATACTGAAGGCTGCATTCCTTGATCTTCTGCAACAAGTGCTTCAAATCCTCTTTACTTTCAGCAAGTAAGGTTGTGTCATCTGAGTAACACAGGTTATTGATGAATCTACTTCCAATCCTGAGCCACATTCTTCTTCATAGAGTCCACCTTCTTAGATAATTTGCTCAGCATATAGACTGAACAGGTATGGGGATAGAATACATCCCTGATGTACTTCCTTCCTAATTCCAAACCATGCAGTGCTCCCCTGCTCTGTTCACACAACAGCCTCTTGCTCCAGGGTAGGTTCCTCATGAGCACAGTTAAGTGCTCTGGGATTCCCATTCTTCTCAATGTTAGCCACACCTTGTCATGATCCACACAAATGCCTTTGCATAATCAATAATGCACAAATAGATATTCTTCTGATATTCCTTTCTTTCAACCAGGATCCATCTGATATCAGCAATGATACCCTTGGTGCCATGGCCTCTTCTAAATCCTGCTTGAACTTCTGCCAATTCCCTATCTATGTACTGTTCCAGATTTTTTGAATGATCATAAGTAGCATTTTGTTAGCACGTGATATTAATGATATTGCTCAATAATTTCATGAATATAGAGACCTTTCTTGCACAATACAATAATATTCTAAGTTCTGGAACACTGCTTGGCACATGGTGATAAGCTGAGAGAAACTGCCTTACAGTATTTCATGGGAAGCATTACAAATATGAAAGTATTATTCTCTAGAAAATTCTCTTAGAAGTTACCTGGGACTGGTGGGTTGATGGTCTAGAACCTGATTCTTCATGATAAGTTAAGTTATCCTGTGGAAACTCTGAGAAGCGAAGATCTTTTAAAATTTTCAAGTCAGTTCTTTCACCTGTTTCAAAGTCTAAAATTAAATTAAAAAACATTGCTGTGTTAAAACATGTTATCTATATCCCATGGAATGCCAAAAAAACAAACCAATATATGTATTAGAGAAAGTGCAACCAGGGGGTTCCTTGGAGGCAAGGATGGTGAAGCTGCTTCTCATATACCTGGAGCATGTTGTTAGGAAGGACCAGTCCTTAGAAAAAGATACCATGTTTGGAAAGGTGGAGGGTCAGTGAAAAAGAGGAAGAACCTTAACAAGATGGATTGACACAGTGACTGTAAAAATGGGTTCAAATGTATCAGAAATGATGAGGATGACACCAGGGCAGGGTTCAGATTATTCACAGGGTTACTTTGAATTATAGTTGACTCAATGACAACTCAAGAACAACAACAACAATAATATATATATTCATGTAACAATGGTCATTTTGATATTTTAATACAGGACCAGCTCTTTAAATTCTTTTCCTGGAAGTAACAATTATACAAAGACCTCCTCTTCAGTGAATTAGCCTTGAAAACAAAAGTTATCTCAGACCGAGAAAAGAAAAATCTGCCCTGCTATATTCCACAATATTCTACATTAGGTTTGGAAAATATATAAATTCAACTGCAATATTAGTAGGAAATATTCATTCTCCCAAGAATATACTGACATTTTAAAATACCACAACTCCTCCTTCATATGGGGGTTATCAGAAACTGCTGTTTGAAGTCCTACCAGCAGGAAACACTCTGCTCTTGCCTGGAGGATCTAAACCATGATTTCATGTAGAAGCGGCCTTAATTTTTAATCCTAGTGCAAAGCTTCAGATAAGAGATTTCCAAATTTAGCTTAACTTTGTAGTTTTCATGAAAACAGAATCCTGGTCTCACACAGAAGTCTGATTTTCTTTGAGTCTATCAAAACTCTGTTTTCATTAAAATTCTATCCAAACTCTCCACCAAGTCCTACAGTACTATCTTTTCCTTTGACAAGATGCCCCATGGCTCCTATGATGTGTGACCTCTTTTGTTGCAGTGAATCAGTAAATATGTTTTACTGCTTGATCTTTTTTCTTTTAAAAAAAAAAAATTATTAACTACAATCCCAGAGGCGAACAGTTCAAATCCACCAGATGCTCTGCCGGGGAAGGAGGGACAATCTCCTCCTGTACCAGTCAGATCTGATTTGATGGTACACGCACACAAAAATAATAAAATAAAAAACAATTTAAAAAAATTATTATTAATGTCAATGAAAACTTACAGAGACTTTGGATTTCCATTTATTCATTGTTGAACTTTTCTCCCCTCCCAATCCTCCCCCCTAGTACGCTACCCTCTTGGAAGGAAAAATTCTTTGTTTTACAAACCCTTCCCCAGGTCCACTCCACTATGCAGCCTTCGCGCTGGACTCCTGTCATGACAAAAATACCTAATCACATATCACTTTTAAACAGTTTTCTCCCTCATCTGTTTCAATGCAGTATACATTATTGAACACATCTTTCTCAGTCTCTCCCCAACCCTGAGGTCAGTCCTGTTTTACAACAGTGGCACAATTTACTGCTTGATCTTAAGCTATTTGAATCAGAACAAAAATTAAAACCGCATCTTACTTTTTCCTCTTTCAGTGTTTCTTATTCCAATATCTCCTCAAACAAGAAAGCAAACTTGTTTGGTGAGTTTAGAATACTAAATCTTTTCTGTGTTCTATAATTTCATACCTGGAAACTTGCTAAGGTTAACATTCCAATCAGGTTTATTTTCAGCCTTCTTATCTTTTTTTCTTAGTTTTGCTCCAATAAATCCATTTTTCAATTCCTACGAATAAAAACATTGCTTATCAATCACTTGTTTCCATGTAGAATGGGAAAATGAAAGGTCTTATAGTATAAAGTCAGGATCATAGCATGCATTTCTGTCTTGAAAAGGTTTACAGTAGTTTTTATTAAGTAGTATTTGGTTGGTCTTGTTCTCAAAACACAAAGCTCTGTATCTGAGCAGCCTGACTGGCCGCAAGACTAGTAGGTCAGTTTCACCATATCCAACAGCCACGACAAGGTCAGGTGGCAGCCTACACAGGCAGGATGTTGTAGTCATGGAGTATGAGTACTCACAGAGATCCTCCAGACCCAGAGGGCAAAGGAATGTTGGAGATAGAGTAAAATATGACTTACATACGCTACCACTGATATAGTTCACCTGGTCTTCTGTTTGGACTTCGCCCTCCATGATCTTAGTCCTTCACACCTGATTCAAGCCTGAACACCTGCTGATCCATGTGAGTTCAGGTTCTGCTGACTTTCCTTTCCCCATAGATACTTACCCTGCTATTAACTTTTACTGAGCCCAAACTACACTCATTGCTTTGGTACCACAGCCTCTTTTTTGGCCATTAGATCCACTCCTCAGATTAAGTGTGTCTCCCAAACAAATTCCTTTTTTTGACCCTAAAAAGATTCTCATGACTAGGACCTCTTGTTTGGTTGCCTTATTACTTGCTAACTCATGCTGTGGTCCTGTTCTCAGATCGATCTCACTTATTCCATGACATCAGGACTGAAGTGTCTAGCTTCCTACTTAGATAGCTCTGTTTCCCTCTTTACTTTTTTTTTTTTTTTTAATTTTTGTGTGAGTGTACCGTCAAATCAGATCTGACTGGTACAGGAGGAGATTGTCCCTCCTTTTCGCGGCAGAGCATCTGGTGGATTCGAACCGTGTGCCTCTGGGATTGTAGTTGCAGCTCCTTGCCACTAGGCCACCAGAGCTCCTCTTCTGTTTCCCTCTTTAAAGAAGTGAGTCTTTGCAGCTATTCAGGAGTGACTATTTCAATATAAAAGAACTCTGTATCTGCTGAGGACTTCTGATTAGTTCTGGTGCATCTATTTAACAAATATACACTCAACTATTGCCTTCTCCTGTGGAAGGCAACAAACAGAGCAGCTATTCTGCGATTTTGGTGTTCACAGTGTAGGAAAAAGTCACACACAAGGAAAAAAGAAAGGAAAAATGCAAAGCATTTATAAAAAGAAGATATTAGGGACACAGAACAATTTAGTTTGCCTAAAGGAGGACATATAGGGGCATCACAGATCAAGCCGAAAAGGCCAATTGAGGATAGAAACATATTACTTGGCTAACTAATATCCATTAATATAATATATAATAATTAATGTACATTAATAAACATATTACTAAGCTAAGGAAGAATCACTAAAGACAAACACAGTCACAGACATTTATGGAGAATTCTGATTAGCCTATTATGAGATGAAATATTTATGAATCAATAAAGATAATTTTGCAATGGTTGAGCCTGACTTAAAAGATGAGCTAAAGTGATGAAGATGTAACCAGTGAGAAAGCACGAATGATCTGAAATACTACTTGCCTGCTTTGAAGAATCTTCAAGAACTTTTTCAATGTTGTCTTCAGAAGAGACTGTATTTGGTGGTTCATAGTCCACCTGAAACACCTTTGTTACAATGCCACTTTGCCTGTAGTCTCTGAAAATTATATAAGAAAGGTGGGGGGGGAATCCCCTACAGGTTAGACAAAGATCAATAAAGAAGGTGGCGAGCAATGAAATCTATAGAGGTCGCTTTGTCTATTTACTACATGTTGTCATTATTGTTCTGTGCTGTCAAGTCACCTGTGACTCATAGCCACCCTATGTACAACAGCTCTAAACCCTGTGCCAATCTTATTGTCTCTGACACACCTACCCCCACTACCCCAGTCACTGAATCAATCCTGCACGTAGCATATTTTAAATTAGACAAATTAAAATGTAATTCTTAAAGTCTTTCCTTACCTATTCTCATTCTGATTATCTATTGCTCCATAACAAACAAGTCTAAAACATAAAGTCTTAAAATACACATCTATACATAGAGAGCTTGGTGGCCTAGCGGTTAAGAAGCTGTGCTGCAAAAGGCACACAGTTTGAATCCACCAGTTGCTCCGTGGGAGAAAGATGGGAAATCTTGTCCCATTTAATTAATTGCCTCTGAAAACCTGCCAGAAGGCCAGCTATGAGTCAGTTCTGACTGGACAGCACAGAGAAACAGCAATACATATTTGAAAGCTAGCTGGATGAGGCCCAGGCAGTTGTTGGAGATCTATCCTTTGCTTCAGTCAGATGTCAGCTGGGGCTAGAATCAACTGAACATCCACAATAACTTTCAAACTCAATATATATGAATCCCAAATTGGAAGAGTGGAAACAGCTGGGGGCTCATTACTCTCTCTCCCTCTTTTTCTTCATGGGAATATCTTGGGTATCCTCATAATATAGAAATTTCAGGATAAATGGACCTCATCCATGACAACTAGCTTCTATCATGGTTTATGTTTTAAAAGACAAAAAACAGAAACTGCAACACTGCCTATGTTCTAGCCTCAGAAGTCCTTAGCATAACTTCTGAGCATTCTATTAGCCATAACCAAGACAAAGGACCTGTCTAGATTCAAGGGCTACTGAAGGAGGGTTAACTTTAGAAGGCGCACTGTTCATTTGGGGGTGGGGGTGGATTACCTTTCCTACTTTGGGGGTATTATAATGATTTTTTTTCATGCTGAAATGTGTAGTATTTTATTTTCTTCAGTGAGTTCTTCAAGCCTTTTTCCTCTTCAGCAAGGCAGGCTATGTCATCTGGACTTAATATGATTGTTGATGCCAGATTCTTCTTCACATAGTTCAGCTTCTCAGATTATTTGCTAAACATATAGACTGAGTTAAGTATGAGGAAAAGACACAACTCTAATGCATGATTTTCTGATTTTAAACTAAGGCATAGACCCTGTTCTGTTCAAATGGCTATTTTTTTACTTCAGGTACACATTCTTACTTTAAATCAAGATCCATCTGACATTAGCTCTGATATCCCTCAAATGTAAAAGCCTCTGTGAATTCAGCCTGAATTTCTGGAAGTTCTCTTGTCAATGTACTACTCTGTTCTTAATAACCTTTACAAAAATTTTACTTGTGTGTAATGATACTGATCAATAATTTTCACATTCTGTTTTATCATCTTTTTGTTATGGGAATGAGCACAAATACAGATCTTTTCCATTCAGTCAGTGAGATAATTGTCTTCCAACTTTCTTAGAATAAATGAACATGCAGCCCAGAGTTGCATCTACTTGCTGAAACACCTCCACTGCTATTCCATCAATATCCAAAATCTTGGGTTTTGCTTTATTCCCCCCACCCAATTCCTCAAGAGTAAACTTGACTTCTTCCTTCATCACTATCAATTCTTGTTCACATGCAACTTCCTGCAATGGTTCAGTATCAACCAATTCTTTTTAGCACAATGACTGTGTATTTCTTCCATCTTCTTCTGATACTTTGTGTACCATTCAAATTTTGCCTATAGAATCCTTCAGTGCTGCATCCCAAGGCTTTAATATTTTTCCTCAGTTTTTCCTATTTGAGAAATCCCAAGCATGTTCTCTTTCTGTTTCTTAACTCCAAATCTTTGCATATTTAATTGTAATACTCAGCTTCTTTTGTCTTCTCCAGCAGCCCTTTTAAATCAATCTTCCGTTTACCACTTTCAATTCATCATCTTTGTTTAGCTCCTTTACATTCTAGCTTGTTTCAGTGTCTCCTCAGACATTAATTTTAGTCTTTACATTCTTTCTTTCCTTTTTTGTGTTCATGTAGCCCCCAGGATTAGATGGTATACCAATTGACGTATTTCAGCTAACAGATTCTGCCCTGGATGTGCATACCAGGTTGTGCCAAGAAATCTGGAGAACAACCACTTGGCCAACTGACTGGAAGAGATCTGTATTTGTTCCCATTCCAAAAAACAGTGACCCAACAGAGTGTGGAAACTATAGAACAATATCATTGATTTCACATGCAAGCAAGATTCTACTGAAGATTATCCAAAAACAACGGAACAGCACATCAGCAGAGAACTGCCAGAAGTCCAGGATGGGTTTAGAAAAGGGTCGTGGTACTAGGGATATTGTAGCTAATGTTAGATGAATCTTAGCTGAAATCAGGGAATACTGGAGGAATGTTTATCTGTGTTTTATTGATTATGCAAAAGAGTTTGACTGTGTGGATCATAACAAATTGTGGCTGACTCTGAGGAGAATGGGAATCCCAGAACACTTGATTATTCTAATGCAAAACTTATACTTGGACCAAGAAGCAGTCGTCAGAACAGAGCAAGAAAACATTGTATGGTTCAAAATTGAAAAGGGTGTATGCCAGGATGTGTCCTATCTCCATATCTTTACAACCTGTACTCAGAATAGATTATCCAGGAGGCTGGGCTGTATGAGCAGAAGTGTGAGGTCAGGATTAGTGGAAGATCTATCAACAATTTGCGTTTTGCAGATGACACAACCTTGCTTGCTGAAACTGAGGAGGACCTGAAGTGCCTGCTGTAGAGGGTCAAGGACTGTAGGCTTCAATATGGATTGAGGCTCAATATAAAGAAGACAAAGATTCTCACCACTGGGCCAATTGGCAGCATCAGGATGGATGGCAAAGAGATTGAGATTGTTAACAACTTTAGTCGGCTTGTCTCCACAGTCAACACTCTTGGCACCAGCATCCAGGAAATTAAAAGATGTATTGTGATGGGAAAGGCTGCTGTTAGGGACCTCTCCAGAGTACTGGAGAGCACGGTGTCATTCTGGAGACTAAGGTGCATCTGATACAGGCCATGGTCTTCACAATCACTTGTTATGCATCAGAGAGTTTGACAATGACTAGGAAGGATAGAAGGAGAATTGATGCCTTTGAGCTGTGGTGCTGGAGAGGAGTATTGAGTGTACCATGGACTGCTAAGAAAACGAACAGGTTCATCATAGAGAGGGTTAAACTCGGCTGCTCCTTGGAGGCAAGGATTCTGAGGCTTCGTCTGCCATACTTTGGGCATGTTGTAAGGAGGTACAAGTCCTTGGAGAGGGACATCATGCTTGGGAGGGTGGAGGGACAGCACAGGAGGGGAAGGTCCTCTAGGAGGTGGATTGATTCAGTGACTGGGGTAATCAGTATGAGTCTGTTAGATGCAGTGTTAGGGCAGGGTTTAGGGCTGTTGTGCATAGGGTCACGATGAGTCGCAAGCGACTCGACGGCACATAACAACATGGAACAGTGTGCAGCATCACAGTCACACTAAGCTGTTTTGGTGAGCTCTGGTGGCCTAGTGGCAAGAAACTGCACTGCAATCCCAGAGGTGCATGGTTTGAATCCACCAGATGCCTGCTAGAGAAGGAGGGGCAATTTCCTCCTGTACCAGTCAGATCCGATTTGCTGGTACACACACACACACAAATAAAATAAAAAAAAAATATTGCTGTTTCATTTAAGGAATATTCATTTGAAAATTACCTTTGAGCAGATATCCACCCTAGGTAAGGGCTAAAGGTCACCTGCTCTTGAGGGGAAAAGAGTAATAATACACATCAGACATGATGCCAAAAATTTCTCTCACATGCCCATCAGGACTGTCATCAGATGCAACAAACAGCCTAAGTCCCAGAGTGGAGGTTCCAGGCCCCAGCCAGCAGTCCCATTCCCTCCCACGGTGGGGTTTTAAAGCCACACCTTTGAGCAGACTTCCACCCTAGGCAAAGGCTCAAGGACACCCGATCTTGAGGGGAAAGAGCGGTATATTATGAAGCCTTTTTAAGTATTCTCTTGTTATGTACCATCACTCTCATTAATACTTGGCATGACAATGTTTTTGTTAAAACGTCTGAAAGAGTACAAAACATAAGTAAAGCTACAGATTATTGAATGTCATCCCTATTCCTGGTTTTTGTTGTTGGGTACTGCAGAATCAGAATCAACCCACAGGTGACCCTCAGGGGCAGTGAATCACCTAGGAGAAGATTGCCTATCCTTCTCCCACAGAACAGCTGGTGGATTTGAACTGTGTGTCTTTGGGATTACAGCACAGCTTCTTGCCACTAGGACACCAGATTTCCTGACAGAAAATTTAATTTGGATATGCACCTTCCTAAGTGACCTCATTCCTATTTCATAGGGTTCTTGATTTGAAAAAAAATTACTCCATAATCTATAGCCAACAATTTAAGAGCTCAAGATTTTTTTACTATCTTTAGTTAAAGTAATCTTTATTTCATTACCCTAGATGTCCTTATTCCAACAAGAAGGAGTTTTGGGCAATTGTCAGTACTTTATGCTGCATGTGGATTAACACCTCAGGACAAGTAGAATGGGACATGAAGAGAGCCTCTTGCCTGATTATATTCCACAGATATAATACAAGATTTACCCTTGGCACAGGATAGAGAAGGGTTTAGGGCTGTTGTACATAGGGTCGCTATGAGTCGCAAGCGACTCAAAGGCACATGTATTTAGTTGGCTATCTAGAGGTATTGTTGAATAGATTCAATCCATGTTATCCATTACATTTCTTGTTGTTGTGTACCATGGAGTTGGATCCATCTACTAGTGATACTAAAAGAACTATATAGAGAGGCAAGATTCATTATTGTGATAGAGCTGAAC